GCAAAAGTTTTGTAAGAGTGGAAGAAAGTCCCGGGCATCACTTTTGCATGTCAGCTTTAAACATCTTGTCTTTGGTGCTTAAACAAGTTGGGAATGAAGCTGTCTTAAGCAAACTCTTAACTGGATTTCGATTTGTTCTTCAGCTTCAGAAACATCTGGCCAGGGGTTATGTTTGGGTGGCTATGGGGTGTGAATTCAGTGGTACAGATTTTCCAGCATGTCATGATCTACTTCCATAAGGAGACCCTGATCTAATTCTACCATCTAGTCCCATTAGGGGGATCCTGAATTCTAGACAGAGACTTAAGATCTCTCTCTCTCCCTCTCTCTCTCTCGCGAATGATGCCTCTGTACATGCGCAGAAGCATCCGGGGAGTGGGGGAAAGTTGGCAGAGCCTCCTGCCGCTGCCACTACCAGTTGGCCAAACTGGGAGCAGCCCACTTCTGATATATTTGTATCAATGGTGGGATTCAAATAATTTAACAACCGGTTCTCTGCCCTAATGACCAGCAGGGTAGGTGGGGCTTGGTGGTCATGTGACTGGGTGGGCATGGCCAACTCAACATCACTCACGTTGATGGGCGCTTCACCTTAGCTGTTACAATGTAATAAGGGTTAACCAGAGAGGCAGTTTCTGTAATCAGGGCAATAAAGATGAGGCTAGAAACAACACCAGAATGTTTCCTTCCTGCCTTCCTTACAGGATTAGCCTGTAAAGTGGAAAAAAACAAAATGAGCTTTCTTCCAACAACCGGTTCTCCGAACTGCTTAGAAAGTTACCAACCGGTTCTCCCGAATGGGTGCGAACTGGCTGAATCCCACCACTGATTTGTATACTCTTCATTTGTCCCTCTGTCTGCTGTGCTTTGGGTATGGGATTTCTAATCTTTGTTTCTGGATGCACACACCAAGGAGTAGTTCTTATTGGATTCCCCTCCTGATAGGATGTAGTTAGCTAGATGATAAACTTTGCCTAGTTCTATAATTCATTGCTTCCCTACTTGTGGTCTATGGACCCTGGGGGGGTGGGGGGAGGATGTTGTCAAAGGGGCCCTGCAAAGACTTGAAGAAATGATGATTTAAATCTTGAGTTAAGTCTGTGGTCATGGTCCATGGCCACAAGAGGTATTTAAATGGGGTTTGTGGCAAAGAAAAGGTTGATAACCACCAGAGGTGGGTTCCTACTGGTTCGGCTGAGTAGGTAGTAACTCGCCCTGCCAGGTCCCCGAACCGGTTCTATCGGTGGCGCCTACAGCAGCGCCATCTTGGTTTTTTGCTTCTGTGCAGAATCACTTTTTCAGTATTGCACATGTGCGTGTGCGCGTGCCGCGTCCGTGAGCGAACCCACCCATGATAACCACTGCTTTCCTTAAATAAATCTTTTTTTCCCCTCTCAGGGTTATTCAAACCCGATTTTTAAATCGCTACTTAGGTCAGAGTCCTGCTCTCAGGAAGGCTTCCTCCTACAACAGTTAGCATGGCCCTGACCCCTCTCCGTTCTGTGCCAATAAATCAAGTGTCAATTTCCTTTTTGTGAAGCAAGTCTCTGAGGACAGGTGGTTTCCACTGGTATTTTTAATAGGTTTTTTTTTAATGAGTGTCTTGGGGTTGATTGTTCTATCTACTTGACACCTTGCCATCAGGGCAGTTACCAGTGAATCATTCTTCCTCTGCCCTTGATCTAGAAAAAGAAACCCACAGTATCTCAATTTCACCTGAGAAAAGGAGGAAGGAACTGCTGTGCTGTGTTGGTAGAAGTCAGAACGCATTTCCATCCTTGATGGGAAGCAAAAAGATGGAGGTTGTGAGAGCAGACTGGGGAATGTTCCCCAAGAAACAGTCCATGTGTCATTCTCATGCTTGGGCAGAACAGGTAGAGTAGACAAGATTTTAATTCCTTTTGCTCTGAGCAGTCCTTGATTGTCCCTCTGAGCTTGGTTGTTTCCTTGCTGGCATTTCATTACCCCAAACTCGGTACCCTCGTTTAGATAATGAAACGTTGGCGAGAAAACAACCAAAGTCACAAAACTCTTCGTTTCAACCCTGAGCTGCACATATTCTTCTCTATCAATTCCCTGGCTCTACTGATCTCCGCATCCCGATGCTTTTTTAAACACAGAAAAGCGGAAGCAAGCGAGGGGAAGCATTTTTATGCACTTTAATCTGGTTTCTAAAACCAGAGTGAAAGCAGTTCACATGACTTACAAGAAGATATAAATATAGTTGTGATGACCCGGGGAAAGGCACAGAGGCAACACAGTTAGCTGATAGTTCAAATCGCCCCTTTATTGCTCCAACTTTCCCCCAAATGCTCCCACTTTGATGGGAAGTCCCAGAGCAAAGTGATCACACACCCACACCCACCCACCCACCCACACACCTCCAGCAGCTTCTGGATGCAAGTAGTCCAGCACAACGCTGTGAGCACTATGGCTGCAAAGTAATCAATCCAGCAGGGTAAGGAAATAAGTCAGAGGTGGGTTCCTACCGGTTCGGACCCAGTTTGGCTGAGTAGGTAGTAACTCGGCCTGCCACGCCCCTGAACTGGTTCTCTCAATTGCCATCTTGTTTTTTTAGTACTGTGCATGCACACGCAGCACATCCCTGAGCAAACCGGCAGTAGCAGCAGCCCGAACCCACCCCTGGAATTATTTTATTTATAGGGTTTGTATGCCGCCCACTCTTGAGAGACTCAGGGTGGCTATAAGTCAATGAGTCTAGGAAGCAAAGGAACAAGGCAATGATTTGTGGAAGCAAAGGAACACAGCAATTAACCCAGAGGCAAGAAATGAAGCAAGAAGTCCAGGGAACTCCAAACAACAGCAACGGCACACAAAACTCCATGAATGCCCCTCCACCCAGCGTCTCCTTAAAGCTCAGTGCCCAAGTGTGCCTTGTGAAAAGGGGTGGGGCACTCTCCTCCCAAGTTGTTGAGTCAGCCTCCGTTGTTCCCTCCTTTTCTCCATTCTCCATTCTTGGAAATCAGGAGGGAGTGGTCCTTGCTCATTGCCTGAGCTCTGTTGCTCCGCATGTTCACTGCTTACCCTCTCTTGGTTACCCTGCCCCTGCTCCTCCCTGCCTACAAACCNGGTTAACCGGAGAGGCAGTTTCTGTAAGCAGGGCAATAAAGATTAGGCTAGAAACAACACCAGAATGTTTCCTTCCTGCCTTCCTGACAGGATTAACCCTGTAAAGTAGAAAAAAACAAAAGGAGATTTCCAACAACCGGTTCTACGAACTGCTTAGAAAGTTACCAACCGGTTCTCCCGAATAGGTGCGAACTGGCTGAATCCCACCACTGTTACACATGCAGGGGGCATGTCTTTGCCTAAAAACTTGAAAGGGAGTTTTCTTAGAATCATAGGGTTAGAAGTGACTCAGAGGTCTTCTAGTCCAATCCACTGCTCAAGGCAGGAGCCTTATACCATGCCAGTCAAAAAGTTGTGCAGTCTATTCTTGAAAATCTCCAGTGATGAAGGTGGCTTGAATTTGATTTAGAGGCCTAGCAACCCAAACTCCAGAATGTGCAAAGACCTGGACTTGCATTCCAAGAAAGGCAAGCTCAGCTTCTCTTCGGCTTTCCAGCAGAAAACATGGACATTGGCCAAATAATATAGTCAATCTACATGCCCAATTTTAATTCACAGCTGAATCCATAAACAGGACTAAACTGGCTGGAAGAGGTTGTTTCGTTCAGTCCTGGCTGAACCCAGGACCCAAATAAGAGGAAGCAAATCAGATAAATGAAGCATATCGGATGAGCAGCTGATTTCAGTTGTTTCACAAATTAGTAACAGATTGGAAGAAAACAAATCAATGTTCCACAATTACAAAGATCTTTCATGATCCTCCTTAATTATCATGGAAGACAAGGTTATTAATAGCTTATCAGTACCTTTAATCAACGGGTGGAAATCAGTGGACACATTTGGAATTTGGGAAGCATGTTATAGGCCAGTGATGGCGAACCCTTTAGAGACCAAGGACCCACACTGCAATCCAAAACCCACTTATTTGACGCAAAGTGCCAACATGGCAATTTAACCTAAATACTGAGTTTTTCCCCCTTATTAATGATACTATGATTAATGATAATAAAATAATGATAAACAAGGGAGAGTTCAGCTAATTGTTCTAAGAAAAACATGATAAATGTACTTTTATGCTCCTTCATTTTTTTCTGCTTTTTAAATATTAGATTTAGTAACAATAAAAAAGAAAAGGTTTTCTAATAATTTTTTTCTCTTTCCCTCCCTCTCTCTTCCCCCCCTCTTTCTCTCTCTCTTTCCCTCCCTCCCTCTCTCTTTCTCTCTCTTTCCCTCCACCCTTTATCTTCCCCCCTCTCTTTCTCTCTCTTTCCCTCCTTCCCTCCCTCTCTTTTTCTCTCTTTTTCTCTCTCTTTCTCTCCACCCTTTCTCTTCCCCCTCTCTTTCTCTCTTTCCCTCCCTTCCTCTCTCTTTCTGTCTCTTTCCCCCCCTCTCTTTCTCTCTCTTTCCCTCTGCCCTTTATCTTCCCCCTCTCTTTTTCTCTCTCTTTCCCTCCCTCCCTCTCTCTTTCTCTCTCTTTCCCTCCACCCTCTTTCTCTCCCTCTTTCCCTTCCTCCCTCCTTCTCTCCTTCTCTCTCTTTCCCCCTCTTTCTTTCTCTCTTTCCTCCACTCTTTCTCTTCCCCCACTCTCTCTCTTTCCCTCTCTTTTTCTCTCTTTCTCTCTCTTTCCCTCCACACTTTATCTTCCCCCCTCTCTTTCTCTCTCTCTTTCCCTCCACCCTCTCTCTCCCCCCTGTGGAAAAAATGCAATGCAGCTGGGCTGGGGTGATGGCGCACGTGCCCACAGAGGGCTCTGAGTGCCACCTCTGGCACGCATGCCATAGGTTCGCCACCACTGTTATAGGCCCTCTATAAAAGTGATTTTCAACCATCACTTTATTTTTTAGAGAACATCGAGCAATGCTTGAGACCAGCCCTAATCCTGCCTCTTTTTCTTGTCTCTTTTATTTTAGGTCTCGGTGACAAACATGGTCAAGGCTCCCTGGAGCTCATTTTCATCAACGAGGAGTAAGAATGAAGCCTGTCCAGCTCTAATGGACATTTGAACCCTTTCAGGTCACAATGAGATAACATACCAGGAGCAGAAAATGAGATATTATATCAAGAGAGATTTAGAGATTGAAAAGTTTTAAGAGAGAAAAGAATTACATGTGGTTTTTTAATGTTTATGGTAGGTAGGTAGGTAGGTAGGTAGGTAGGTAGGTAGGAAAGAAGGAAGGAAGGAAGGAAGGAAGGAAGGAAGGAAGGAAGGAAGGAAGGAAGGAACTTTTCCCCAAGGGATAAGGATAAAAGCAGCCATATTTTATTATATATAAAGGTAAAGGTTCCCCTTGCACATATGTGCTAGTTGTTCCTGACTCTAAGGGGCGGTGCTCATCTCTATTTCAAAGCCAAAGAGCCAGTGCTATCCCAAGACATGTGGCCAGCATGACTAAACACCAAAGGCACATGGAACAGTAACCTTCCCACCAAAGTGGTTCCTATTTTTTCTACTTGCATTTTTACGTGCTTTCAAATGGCTAGGTTGGCAGAAACTGGGACAAATAATGGGAGCTCACTCCATTACGCAGCACTAGGGATTCGAACTGCCGAACTGCCGACCTTTCTGATCGACAAGCTCAGCGTCTTAGCCACTGAGCCACGGCGTCCCAATTATATTGCATATACTTGGTTTTTAATATTCAATTTAATATTCAGATGCTCCTTCCCCTCAGTTTTCACTAGAATTATCACCAATAAAAAAGAGAATCAACTTGATAATTTTCCACCCCAAGGGAAATTATCCCTTCTTTCTGTGTTCCTGGCATGCTTCCACCATCTTGAATTCTGTCTGCATAACTCAGAACTAAACCTAGAACTAGAGCAAAGCAGAATTGCATTGGGATGCAAATCTCCAATGACCTCTCTGTAAAATGAGTCAAAGTTGAGATGCATTTTTAAAAAGTGAATTTACAAAGAGATTTCTATAAAGCCCAGCACTGCAATGACGTGGGAAGTAAGGCTGCTTATTGGACAGGTGGAAACAGCACAGCTATTCTCCAAGCCAGTCTTCCACTTTTTGTGAGCTGGAGAAAACAAGGACACAAGAAAAAGCTGTAAACAAAACTGCTCTGGTCTCACCTTTTGTTCTCCCAGGCAGGCACACAAAACACCTGTTTGACCCTTCTTACATCACTTGCATGAATTTAAGCTTATCATTTGTTGCAGGAGTGCTGGGATAACAGAATTGGATGCATGATTTCCTGGGAATATATGCTATGGCACACCTATAATTCATTATTAATGTTTATCCCTTTTTTATTCCCCCTTGTTATCTGTAGTGCTACAACTGCTGATTTCAGCTCTCTGATGCACTCCAAGGTATGAATTTATGCTTCAATAACTCTATATCTTTCACAAGGACTATCCTAGGGTACCGTGGTAAAACAGTGATGGGACAATTCCCTCTTCCTCCTCTGCTGTCCAAAACAAAGCCACATTGTGGATTTTGTGAGCTCAGATGAAAACACTATCCCATAGAATGGAACCATGTCAGATATGGAAGTTATAAAATAATCCAAGAAGCCCACAGTATGTCTTCTAACATCTATAATTTGTTTTTATTCTGGAGAAATGGGCATATTTTCACCCCATTCTCCATTTTTTGTTTGCTATGCTTCCTACAAAATGAGGATGCTTTGAGCATTCTTATAACTCAAAATGATGCTAGCAGTTGCTTCCTTGGTTAATAACATGCCCCATTTCATTAAAGTAATCTAGATACTAATATTGGTCTGACCCTGCTTTGAGAATTGTGTTCAGTTCCGGGTGCTACATTTTAAAAAGGATTCAGACAAGCTGGAAGAGGTTCAGTGAAGAGTGGGGAGGATGATTTCGAGGACAAGAAACTAAACTCCATGGCAACTGACTGGAAGACACAGGAATGTTTCACCCTGAAAAGAGGCAACCAAAAGGAGTACAGTAGAGTCTTTAAAATTGGATCCTTACCTGAGATCTGTTCTACATGATCTATGAATACAGGGTATGGATTTCAGATGTATGCTAGAAAAAAACATTCTAACAGTATCAGCAATTTGATCATTGACCTCATTATCCAAAGAAATACAAAATTGTGTTATAAGACTTCTCGTAATTTGTTGAGGAGGACAATGTTGGCCTTCAGAGCTTAGTGACTATGGCCTAGACCCCTGGTCTTTGTATCCAGATGTCCTGACAGCAGCCCAGATGCAATCCCAGATGATTAGTGGTGCCTGGTCTTAATAGCAGGTCACTTTGCCTCTGAAAATGCCAGCCACTGTTCCCACATCAGGAAATATACTCTGGACCCAACAGTCAGTACACCTTGAAGCCCAATGCTGTCCAACAGTTACAGGCCATGAAAGCCTACACCAGTATAGAGCCCTAAAGGGCCCTTTCAATATTCTATGCTAATATAAGCTTAAACTGCATTAATAAACTTAGTATCCATATCTACAATACTGATCTGGTTTCGTTTTAGGGTTCTATCCAGTTCTAGGACTACTTATGTAGGACTTCATATTCTCTAAGCTATTCAGGCTCTATCTCCACTAATCTTCCACTTGCATGAAGATGGCTTGATAATATTGCATTTGTAATTCAAAAAATTTGGGTTCTTAGAATCCTTTTTTTCCCTTGTCTCAACCATGAGTATTATTGTTTGGGATGAAGCTGAATCCTCCTCCCCATTCTTCATGTTTTATACATGGGTGTGTATAGATTCTCAGTCATTCAGGTCATGGTTGTCCCAAAGGTGCTTTTTCAGGAGGCAACTGGACTGTCTTTGTTTTTTTCACTATCCGTGGGGGTTTACCATTAATCTGACTTGAGTCTTTCAATAGGATATCCACAACATAATAATTCATGTTGCTAGATGGGCTGTTCTTTCCCTGGGCACTGACCAGTGGTGGGTTCCGGATCCCGTTCCAACCGGTACAGTTGGAATGGGCCCGGCGGCGTCCACATGGATGCGTGCAGCGCGCGCATCTTAGCATCCAGTGACGCCTCCACGACGCTCCAGCTTCTCAGCAGAGCATTGTGCAGGTGCTGTATGTGCCATCCGTGTGCGCAGAAGCACTAAAAACTTTAAAGACAGGTAAGGAGCGCGGGCAGGTGGGTGGGCCCTCCGGAGCATCGTACCGGAGCACTATCTGGTACTCCGGGCAGGCTCTGGTATGCCCATACCGGGCCTACCGCCTGCAACCCACCACTGGCACTGACTGTTCTTTGGCTACAGGATTGAGGAGACAGAAATCTCTACTTGCAAATGTATTTAAAGTCATCTAAAATCCTGGGATTCTCTGGGGAAACCAATGAAAGCGAATCCTTGTTAAAGCTTTTTATTAGTGAATGTAATGAAGAGGACAGAGTTGGAGGAGATTCCATGGGACAATCTAGCTATGTTTGAGTGGGTGGTTAGTACACAAGGCTCAAAAAGAGGTCAAAAAGAAGCTGAATGACTACATCAGCTCCATTTTGCCTGGCAGAGGCCAACGTAGTTGCTAATAGCTGACAGCAAGAGATTACAAGGCCATGAAATAGGCAGTTCACCAACATAAAGATATAACTATTCAGATTTATAGGCAAAAGTTCCAGGGACATGTCTTCAGTACAAAGCACAAATCTATTACAACCGATAGTGTACATGTCCACATATTTGTTTCTGGATACAGGAGCACCATCCAGAAACTGTACAGGAAGCTTTAAGACTATCTGAGAGCTATGGAGCGTTTATATTCCCCTTAAGCATGTTTTCACTTTGAGGGGCCTCCTAGACCAGGGCTGTCAAACCTGTGGCCCATGGGCTGGATGCGCCATGCCCACGCCCAGTTTAGCAAGGGGGGGAAAAGTTGTGATACATCAAGTGACAACGCCATGATGATGCAAATTTGACACCCCTGTCCTAAACTCATCACTTTTTCTGGGACAACAGATAGAAGCTGTGGTTAACTTTGGCTGGTATAACAATTACAAGCCTGCCTGAATTGTAAAGTCCTCACAAAAGTGATTTGTGTCCTCATCACTTCACATCTAAACAAGTCCATCTCATGGCTGTCTTTGAAGATCACCTGTAAGCTTCAGTTGTCTAGATTAGTCACCTGCTAATCAGTGACAGTAGATTTAACACCAGTATATGATCACTGCACTGGCTGCCAATTTCAGTTCATGTGGCTTGACTCCCAGATATTTATAAAACCACCTCCCCCAATAAACAAGACCAGGCTTATTCTGATTTAATAGGAAATTTCTTCTTCTTTGCAAAATATTTTTTGGGAATCAAAATCTTTCTTACTAAAATGAGAATTGATAGGAAAAATGAATCTCCCTCATGGATACAATAAATGCAATCTCTGTTTTTCTAAATTTTATTACTCAGAATAAAGTGACAAAGGGCAAACCTCATGATGCACATTCTGATTTTGCAGGAAAATACCTTCTTTAGATTAAACGTATTCATAGTAGATTAGAAAGTTGTTGCCAAACGATTAACTTGTGGAAATATTCCTAGAATTTTGTGGGGTGGGGGAGTGATGGAAGAAGATGAAAAGTGATGTTTTCTAATAAAATATTTCTGTTCCCTCAGAATATGAATGGGGTACACATGATAGCCAACACGATTGGCTCAATGAATTCCAGAACCAATGGGCAACATCTACCCCAGGTGAGAACATTATTTTGTGTGGAGACAAACATTAAGTCCAGGTTCATTTACTCTTCACCCAATAAGATTTAGTTTCAGAAATTAGCTAGTCACATCGTAGCTTATTTTTGGTATACTATGGCTCCAGTTAACTAAAAATGTAATTAAATTTGGACTGCTCCAGGAAAAGGATCAGATTCAACCATGCTGCAATTTCATGGTTAACCACAATAATTTCCTAGTATGTATGGTAAGGCAATCATCTCCAGATGTTAATTCTTATAGCAAAGTAGATTTCTTGTTTCAGTGCAGTTGACTACTGTGCTGTCTGTTGACTAGGCAGTGAAGCTCTAGATTAACTGTCTTATAAGAAGAAAATGGAGCAAGAAACTCAGTGGCTTGAAGAAGAAATAGACTTACTGAAGATAAACATGTTTTTAAAGTTTATAATTGGAGCAATATTCAATGAGCTGTTAGCCAGTTTGCAAGGCCAGAACAAGATATAGTTTCAGCTTTCAACTTTGTATTTAAAGATTATCTTCATAAACAAGGGGGGGAAATCAACCCTTTTCTTTTGTAGAACAACTGCAATCATATATATCTACCATGTTTCCTCAAAAATAAGACAGGGTCTTATTTTCTTTTGACACACTCCCCCCCCCGAAATAAGTGCTTGGCCTTATTTTTGGGGAGGTATTATTATTTTTGAGGTGCAGGAGGCAGCGAGCATGGTCACCTCATGGCTGCAATATTTTCAGGGAGGGCTTATTTTAGTGCATGCGCTCAAAAGCCTGATTCTGCTTATTATCCGGGGAGGTCTTATTTTGGGGAAAACAGGGTATTCATCTCTTCCGTCTCTCTATTACAGAAGTTGCTTGTCTCTCTTTTAAATATGTAATAAATAACACAAAAATATACAAAGAAAAAAAACGACACTCACTGAGTTTTTAAAAATCAACTTGAACAACAAAAAAGCATAAACATTAAAAGTTCAAACAGGACACATTGAAGTAGTAAAGACAACTGACAGGTTATATAGGATATTCAATTTCCTGCTCATAGGTAGAATCCATGTATATATGCGTGCGGCCTTCCAGATATTGATGAACTACAGCTCCCAGCATAGCAATAGCAATAGCAGTTAGACTTATATACCGCTTCATAGGGCTTTCAGCCCTCTCTAAGCGGTTTACCGAGTCAGCATATTGCCCCCAACAATCTGGGTCCTCATTTTACCCACCTCGGAAGGATGGAAGGCTGAGTCAACCCTGAGCCGGTGAGATTTGAACAGCCGAACTGCTGAACTGCAGTCAGCTGAAATAGCCTGCAGTGCTGCATTTAACCACTGTGCCACCTCGGCTCTTGATCATGCTCTGATGCTGTAGAAGAAGTGAGGGCAGTGAGTTGTCCCATTCTGAAGTCAAGACCTACTGTATTTTTCTGACTACAAGACGCACCTTTCTCCCTCAAAAAAAGAGGGTGAAAATCTGGGTGCGTCTTATACACTGAATACAGAATTTTTGGCTTCCCGAATCCCTGCCCCCTTCGCCAAAATGGCTGTGCATAGGCTTTAGGAGGCTTCCAGAGTGCTCCTGGGGGCTTGGGAGGGCAGTTGTGTGATTTCAGTTTGAAGGTCTTTCTGATAATTTGTTCCAACTCAGCCTTCAGCAAATTTGCTGGAGCTTCAACTATCAGAATACTAAGACAACAAGAGTAACGTTTCCAGGCTGACCAGGAATTCTGAGAATTGCAGTCTCAACATTTCTTCACGACCCTGGGTTGGAGAATGTTGGTCTAGAAGAATGAAGATTGACTCCCATGTTTGTTTAAAGCAAACACATGGACAAACACAAATGATGTGCTTTCCCGCCCCCCACCCCCAGGCTCAAATACTTGTTCTGCCATCCCAATCTCAAAATTTGGACCAAGATAGCAAACAGCAATATCCATCCAAGCATGATCATATGGTCTGCAAATGCCTCTCCCTGAGCATTTCCTACGCAGCAACTATCGGTGGACTCACAACCATCATCGGCACTTCCACCAACCTCATCTTCCTAGAATATTTCAACAAGTAAGTATTAATAAACTCTGGCTGAAACTGATGTGAAAACATGTGTGTTTACCCTGATCCCTGAAAACTAAGGAAACAGGCGGGCATGATGTTCTTTCCACCATGGCTAAAGAGATTTCATTCACATAATGATCTGGAAATTATTTCTAAAAGGAGAATTTGAGGAAACTGTTTAGTCTCAAAAAGGGAAAATTGAAGAGTATATATTCACACTTGAAAGAATCATCATCATAATTTAATGACCCACATAATGACCCCTTGCAGGGTGGAGTCTGGGCAACTAAATGGAGCCAGAGTGTTTTAATGGCCAGATGCCCTTCCTGTTGTCAATGTGGAATTTTGTTCAGCAGATATATTCTCAGTGTGCCCAGAGGGAGAAATATCTGCCTCTCCCTAGGATCGAACTCACAGCCTCCTGATTGTGAGGCAAGAGCTCCGTCTCTAGCCCACCGCACCGCTCCATTCACACTTGAAAAAATGCTGCATAGAAATGACTGAGATTTTTTTCCCCCTTAGTGCGTATTATCCTAAAGTACAGGAGACAAAACAATAGCTATAAGTTACAAAATGGCATAGGCCATCTGAACGATAGGGAAAACATCCTAAAGATAACAACCAATGATAAAAGAATTGGCAAGCTCTATGTGGCTGGATATGTTCAGAGAGAGATTAGACAGCCGTTGACTGCCAATGCTTTAATCTGGAATCTTGCATTAAGCAAAAAGTTGGATTCCATACAATCGCTTCCAATTCTTTTCTGCAAATAAATGGTGAGAAAGTACCAAATGAAGCTCATCTACATAGAAAAGTTCCCATCAAAGACCATGAGTTTGATGGAAGATTAGAAAGCACTTGAAGAGTCAAGAAACTCGTGAACCAAAGATTTGTGTTCTCTTCCTAGTCTCAGGCCTGTGGCTGGTTTTCAATCTTTTACACAGAGAAAATGGGGTAGGGGAAATGCTTCTTCTAAAGCAGTGTTTCTCAACCTTGGCGACTTTAAGTCCAGTAGACTTCAACTTCCAGAATCCCCCAGCCAGCATAGCTGGCTGGGAAATTCTGGGTGTTGAAGTCCACAGGACTTAAAGTCGCCAAGGTTGAGAAATACTGTTCTAAAGCTACTAGACGTTGTATTTCATAAACATTCCATCAGTATCACAATAAATTTATTCTACTCAAATAAGATTTAGCTGGAATGGGTAACTTTCCAATGCATTTGGTTGGAAAGATGTAGCAGACACTCTGGATAGGGGCAGTCTTGCAACCCTGCAGGATTTCATCAAAAATTCTCCCATGGTAGTTAAGAGAATGATTACATCAGAGGGAAGGTATTTCCTGGTATTTGCATACTTAGTTGCTAATCTGACTGCTAAGATTTTTTTTCCTTTTCAATGAATTCAACCTTTTTTTCTTTCTTGTCTTCCCCTCCCCCCGCCCCTCCTGTTTGATCTTCTTCCCTTGGGTTGATGAAACAAGTTTAAAATAATGTAATACTGTAAAAGCCGTACATTCTTCCACACTAAGGGTGGTGGTGAATTGGTGATGCCCAAGCAAGCTTTAAATAAATTGTGAATACATTTCTTTTGACTTCTTTACAGCCATTACCCAAATTCAGATGTGGTGAATTTTGGAACCTGGTTCTTATTCAGTTTACCTATCTCGCTCATTATGCTGGTGTTAACCTGGTTCTGGATGCATTGGCTTTTCCTTGGTTGCAAGTAAGTGAAACTGTGGTGGAATATACTAGGCTGGATTCCCGGGCAGGAGAATGAGGGGGAATAAGAGACAACTAAGTCCAGATATTATGTGTAGCAGAAAGAGACAGCCCTTCCCTAATAGTTCCCAGAGTATATGGGAATAGCAGATAATAAAGTGCTTACTCTGGCAAGATTCTGTCTACAGGTATGGAAACAATAAAGAATTTGGCTTTGAAGAATCACCACATGTTTTTGGGTCCGACAGAAACCTGCCCTATCTATTGACATTCCCAATCTATAGTAAGAGCAGAGGTGGGCTGCTGTAGCAGTTTCAATCCACACTGGAGCTATCCCATCCTATATAATCGTTGTTTTTTCGCTGCCTGCATGCTCACATTTTTGGTTCTGAGAGAACCAGTTGTTACAGAATGTGATGCCCATCTCTGAGTAAGAGCACTACATAGCAATAGCAATAGTAGTTAGACTTATATACCACTTCATAGGGCTTTCAGCCCTCTCTAAGCGGTTTACAGAGTCAGCATATTGCCCCCAACAACAATCCGGGTCCTCATTTT